GGAAGTGCCGGCAGCGTTTTCCTGCGATGTGAGGTGGGGAGGTGGGGCATGGTATCGGGGACGGCCGAGAAGGAGGGGCATCAGAGGAGACCCCGTCCGGCTCCGCGAATGAGGAAGCCCCCTGCCATCCCGCTGCCGGTTGGTGGGAGGGAGGCGGCGCTGGCCAGAGCGGAGCGGCTGTCGCGATACCAATGGGAGCTCCCGCCTTCTCTTTGTTGCTTTGGGTATCCGATGCGCCAGAGAACAGAGAAGAAGTATGATCATCAGGAGAAGTCGGAGTAGGACGAGCAGAATGGATGATCGTTGGAAGATGTGTGTTCGTTCTTGAGGTTGCGGCCAGCCCGAGCTCGAGAGCCACGCTTTCGACACCATGCCTGGGTAGGATGCTCCGTGTTGCCTCCATCCGCGGGGATCTCAGCGCTGAAAGAAGCGTGCCTCGCCGTGCCGACACTCGGAATGGCTTCCTGGTGCATTGGTTTCCAACGAAGCCGGAGGTTGGAATACAGACAGGGCGGGGGGTGGGACCGAGAGGAGTAGGAGGACACGTAGGAGGAAGGGCTTTCTAATGCGAGGTGGTGAATCGTAGATGAAGCCTCCCCTGCCTTTTTGAAAGGGGTGCGTTTTGGAGGCGTCTTGGGCTTTCTAGAGATTATCTTGGGCGTCTTTGAGCGCTCTTGGGCCGTCTCGGAGCATCTTGAAATCTCTTGGGGGTCCGGTGGATCGCTCCCAGAGCGCTCTGGGGGGCCTGGACGGCAGCACCCAGGAGCAACATTGTGACTGGTCGGGGAACTTTTCGCGACCCCCAGGAGCGGCCCTGCGCGCGCGTGAACTAGAAATCTTCTGACGATGTTGTTGGAGATCTTAGCACGCCTCAGGCTCTCTGGCCCGTTGGGCCTGCGGACCGACGCGTACTTACTGTCCTGATTTATGCTTTGATGGATTCTCCTCGGCCCAGCTGGGGGAGGCCCCGAGGCCATGTTGGGTCGCCTGGGGTCGTCTTGCCGCTCTTTCCGGGCCCTCCCATGGCGCTCCAGGAGGCCCCCCGGGGCCCTCCTGGGCCGCCGAGTGGCGTTCTCGTGGCAGTCCTGGGGCGTTCCAGAGCGGCCGGGCGGCAGGAGTTTCGCTGCCTGGCACCCTCGGGAGCACTGTCGGATGGTCGGACGTCCTTATCTTCATCATTCTCATCGTCGTCGTCCTCATGCCCTCCCGTCCGTGCCGCGCCGCGCAGTGGATCCGGCGAGTGCTCTGGACCGTGAGCATCGTGGTGTTCGTCTGGGCTGCGTGGACGCTCGTGCGCAGCGGGATGCTGGCGGCGGTGGTGACCCACGCGGTAGCCCTGGTCGCGCCGGGCTTGGCAGGGGCTGCTCCCGCCGCAGGATCGGCAGACACGGTGCTGAGCGGCGTCAGTGCTCCGGTGTCCGGGGAGCTCTGAGCCCTGGTGCCGACCCCGTCCCCGCCCCTCGTGTCTGGCTCTCGGTCGATCTCCGTTCGCTGGCTCTCCATTTTCCCAACTACCTCTCCCTCTCTCTCTCTCTTCCCCTCCTCCTGTGTATGGTGTATGAGTGGGCCATGAAGCGAGATGGGGAAGGGGGAGGCACGGTCAGTGCCCCTGAACGGGGAAGAGAGACACCATGAGAGTGGCGCGCCAGGGAAGGCTGCAGCCGTGGGCCGCACCATTCTCCACCACTCGTTCTCTCCGGGTGGACTTTCCAAGTCTCTCTTTTGCAAATGTCCCTGTGTGGGGGCCTCGATTTACCACTAACATCGCTCGTTGCTGCTCATCCCGTTCTCGGGGCAGCACGTGCGGGGCAAGACTTGGAAACCCAATGCTCGAACAAGACTGAGTTACAACACTTTCAGCATATCCCTACCGCCAAGCCTGAAGATGTAGCAGAGCTGGTGATTTGACCTCTGCTTCCTATGTTGACCTCTGCGATTCTGACTGATGAAGAGTGAGATCCTGAGCCGCAAGGGCTTTCGGGGGCAGGCCTGAGTGAGCCCAGGCACAGGAAGGGCGTCGATTCGGCCCCGCAGGTCTCCAGAAGGCTCCCTCTCCCCCACTCGCGATGACATGGCTGAGGCCCACGTGTCCCGCGTCTCCTCCTGGTCGGCTGAAGCCACATATCCCCTCATTGATCTCCGTACCTCCCCGACTCCCCCTCTCCACCCCCTCATTCCCCTTCCCCTTCCCCCCGCCGTTTCTGCCTTTCTTGCCTTCGCCTTCCACCCTCCTCCGTCGCCTCTGCCCGTGCCCTTGCATGCGCCCCCTGCGTCCTCTTTCCTTTCTGTCCTCCCACCATCTCGAACCAGGTTCCCGACCCCCTTCTCTCATTCCCCCGCCCCCCTCCTCTTCTTCCCCCCCTCGCTCCCGTCCTTGTCCTCGCCCCCGTCCTCGTCCTCGCGCCATGTTTCTGCCCCCTCCTTCCCATGTCCTGAGCTCCCTTCTCTTCCCACTGCCCGCGGCAGCCTCGAGAGGGCCAGACCCACGCGCGGACAGCAAAAAGTGCAGCGGGCACCCGTGCAGGTCCCCCGGCGCGGCCCTGGCTGGGGCGCCCGGTGACGAGGGAAGGAGGTGGGGGGCGAGGCAGGCGAGCACAGTGGAGGGTCGGGGAGGGGGCACCTGGGAGTGCAGAGAGTGAAAAAGGACACGGGCACGGGGAGCGAAGGGGGGGGAGGGGGGGAGGCGACGGGCACGGGGGTGGGACTGGGCAGGCCGGGGCAGCGGCCGCACTGGCCCCCACCCAGGGGGCTCCTCGTCGACTTCTGCCGCTTCCGCCCCGAGAGCTGGGCCGGAGCGCACGGCGTGACAGGTCCGGGGCCGATGTTTGACCCCAGTGCCCCGAGCCTCTCGCGTATCGGGGCGGGAGAGGGAGGCTGGCATCGCTCGCACGTGTGCGCTTTTTCCCCCGGCAAGGGCCACATCGAGGACCAGCTTTGGCCATCTCGCGAGCAAGTGAACGCACGAAATCGACAGGCGCGCGTGGACGTCCGAGCGGTGGCGAGGAGGGAAGCTGACTGCACACTCCAGGGTGGTGGTGCCAGTACGTCTGACCTCGTTGCCTGTGCTCCATGGCCGTTAGTCCTGGTGGCAGGTCCAGCTACGTTTCAGCTGGGCACGGGCAGCATACATCCTAGATTCCAAACGCTGCGTAGAGCAGCGGTGCACCGCGCCCGCCTTTGGAACATAATGTGACGAAGCGGTCGGCTTTGGGCCACGCCAGCTTGTCAGAACAGGCCACGGCGTCGCCATGGGCGCTTGCAGGGGGCGCGTCATCGTCGTAGAGGTTCTGCCGTTCTAGTGTCACTGCCGATGCGGCCCTACTGGTAGCGGAACTACGGCTTGTTGCGCTGCCTTGACGGTCGGCAATGATCTGACAATCGATGTCACTACCAAGCACACTATCGATCTTACTATTGTCACCACTATCGATCCCACTATCGAGTTTTCTATCGACTTAACTATCGTTTTCACCATCGATCTCACTGTCGATTTCACTATCGATCTCACTACGGGACACCGACGGGACACCGACAGGACACTGACGGGACACCGACAGGACACCGACGGGACGCCAGCGGGACACCGGCGAGGCACCCCCAGCAACCGGCGGACAACCGGGGGGGGGCGGTCTTGTGGCCCATTTGCGCCCTAGCCAGAGGAGGGTTCATTCCTTGCGCCCGCCCACTCAGCTTCGTCTCGCCCGCACGCACGACACGAACACGAAGCCGACACCGATTTCCCAGTGTGGGGCCTTCCGTTTCACTGCGATCTCATTCCATCTCTTTCGCTTCCGACTCAGTTCTCCTTGTGACGAGGGCGTCGTGGCGCCCTGTATCGCAATCACATTGACCCGCGACGCTTGGCGAGATCTCGACGACGTCTTGTTGAAGGGGCGGGAGGTTGTTCAAGCGTCCTCCCTCCTGAAGGGGTCGCCGTCTCTGGCATTTCTGTGACCTTTGATGGATGAATCAATCTCCGATTCGACGAAGCACCACAAGGGGTGTTCGTTTATGATAAGATGGAGGAGTGGGGATGACATCAAGGACTGTGCGCAACACAGTCATACCGCTGCAGGGAAGCCTCGAGTGGACCTTCAGGGCCACCTATGATGTTTGGGATCGGGGTCGCTGTCAGTGCAGCGGGACGGCACGACGCAATCATACGACGGCGTCGGCGGAAGTTCGTGCCATTCTTGACACTGAGGAGGCCTCTAGCATGGTCGTGGCCGATGGGAGAGCAGGTGGTCGGACGGAAGCCATGAGACATCCTGCGACAATGATGATTCGAACTTTGATAACTTCTAGAGCAGCAATATCTGATTCCGACTGACACGAGACGATGGAAGCTGTATGTTCATGGTGCGCTTCAGCGTCAGTGATCATGACAGTTCTGGGAATTGGAGCCAGCGTGCAAACCGAATTCGGACTCGAACTCTCTCGGCGGCGGGGTCGACTGCGGCGAGGAATCTTCGTTATAGAGGGAGGAGCTGGATGACGCAGAAAATGCGCTTGTGGCTGTCGCTGACGAAAAAGCACGCATAGCAAAACGTGCATTCTTAGCATCTACGTCTTTTCGGTCTTCACAGCGTGCACGACGGTACAAAGGCCCCAAAGACGGCCCCAAGAGGCTACCAGCACGGCCCAAGACAGCCCGAAGGGCGGCCAAGGCGTGGCCAGAGGGCCCCATGAAGCTCCCAAAACGTTCCATGGCGGCCCCGGAGCGCTCAAAGCTAGCCCTAAGACGCCCAAGACGGTTCTCACAGTGCCCAAGAGACCGCGAAGACGCCCCAAGAGGCCCCCAAGAGGTTTTCCAAGAGGGTCCCAAGAGGCCAGAATCCTTGATTTTGCAAAGGAAGCCGTATATTCTTAGCATCTACGACTTGTCGGTCTTCACAGCGGTGACGACGGTACAAGAGGCCCCCAAGAGAGTCCCAAAACGGCACAAGAGGCTCCAAAGACGTCCCGAGAGGGGGCCAAGACACCCCAAGAGGTCTCCACTACGACCTAGGAGAGCTCCAAGGCGGCCCCAAGAGGAGCCCAAGAGGGGAAGCCCGACCCGAGAATCCGACCCTGGAGGCCCCTAAGAGGATCGAAGAGGCCTCCAAGAGATCCCTCCAATAGGCCAAACCCAGCGGGGGTGTTATGGAGGGGAATATCCCCCCAAGAGGCCCCTAAGAGACTCCAAGAGCCCCCCCGCGGCCCGCCCCCCGCGCAGGGACGGCGACGACCTCGACGGCGACGGCGGCGGCGCCGCCATCGTCGTCGTCGCACTTGCCGTCGTCAGCGCCGCCGCCGTCGTCGTCATCATCGTCGCCGCCGTCGTCGTCGTCGCCTCCGCCGTCGTCGTGCTCGTCGTCGCAGACGCCAGTCGAGGACCGATCAATCGAGGATGGAGGTTCGACGAGGTCTTTCGGTTCTCGTCCCCAAGGGGTCTTTTTGAGCGGACTTTAGTCGATCAGAGAGCAGCGCGAACGCCAAGGACGCTAAGCAGCGCGAGCGCTAAGGACGAGCTCTGTGATGTTTGTTCGGGTCTTCCGTCGACCTTTTTTGCACGCGTTTCGACGAAGTTTGATTCGATTTGTCCTTGACCTCGGCTAGAACCAAAGCGCGCGCGAAGCGCGCGCGATGGTTCTAGTATATATATGTATATGTATATGTATAGGTATATGTGTATAGGTATAGGTATATGTATATGTATATGTATTTGTATATGTATGGGTATATGTACATGTATATGTATATGTATATGTATGTGTATATGTATACGTGTATGTATATCTATATGTATATGAATATATATATATAGATGTGTGTATGTATATGTATATGTATATGTATACGTATATGTATATGTATATGTTTATGTATGTGTATATGTATATGTTTATGTATATGTATATGTGTATGTATATGTATATGTATATGTATATGTATATGTATATGTATATGTATATGTATGTGTATGTGTATATGTAGATGTAGATGTAGATGTAGATGTAGATGTATATGTATATGTGTATGTATATGTATATGTATATGTATATGTATATGTATATGTATATGTCGGAGGTGAGGGGGTGATATCGAAGTGGAACGGAGAGCCCCCCCACCGGGAAATCGATTTCGGTTTCGTGTTCGTGCGTGCCGTGCGCGCGGGCGAGGCGAAGCTGCGTGGGCGGGCGAAAGAAAGTCTCCTGTGGCTGAGGCGCGGCCGGACCAAATGACTCCCTTCTGGGCGGCCGGTGGCCCGCGGCGCCCCGCCGGTGTCCCGCGAAAGTCCCGTGTGGTTGAGGCGCGGCCGGACCAAATGATTCCCTTCCGGGCGGCCGGTGGCCCGCGGTGTCCCGCCGGTGTCCCGCGAAAGTCCCGCGGTGTCCCGCGGTGCCCCGCGGTGTCCCGCCGGTGTCCCGCGGTGTCCCGCGATGATGATGATGATGATGATGATGATGATGATGATGGTGATGAGATGATGATGATGATGATGATGGTGATGCTGATGATGATGATGCTGCTGATGATGATGACGTCGATGATAATGATGGTGATGCTGCTGATGATGATGAGGACGATGATGATGCTGATGATGATGATGATGATGATGATGATATGATGATGATGGTGTCCCGATGATGATGATGATAGTGATGATAACGGTGATGATGAAGGTGATGTCGATGATGGTGATGACGGTGATGATGATGCTGATGGTGTCCCGATGATGAGGATGATGATCGTGATGATTATGTTGATGATCATGATGATGACGATGATGGTGTCCCGACGGTGATGAGTATGATGATGTTGATGTTGATGATGCTGATTATGATTGTGTCCCGGTGACGTTGATGTTGATGATGATGATGTTGATGATGATTATGGTGTTCCGATGATGATTATTTTGATGGTGATTGTGATGATGTTGATGATGATGGCGTCCCGACGGTGATGATGATGATGATGTTGATGTTGATGCTGATGTTTTTAATGGTGATGATGGTGCATCCATGATGGCGACGATGATGATGCTGATGACGATGTTGATGATGCTGATGATGATGTCGATGATGAGGATGATATGATGATGACGGTGTTCCGATGACGATGATGATGATGCTAACGATGGTGATCATGATCGTGTCCCGATGATGATGCTGCTGATGATGATGATGGCGATGACCGTGTCCCGATGCTGCTGATGATGATGATGTTGATGATGATGATTGTGATGATGGTGATGATGATGATGGTGGTGTCCCGATGATGTTGATGACCATGATGATGGTGATGATGATGATGATGCTGATGATGATGATGTTGGTGTTGATGATGAGGACGGTGTCCCGATTCTGATGATGTTGGTGATGATGATGTTGATGTTGATGTTGTTGTTGATGATGATGATGATTTTGATTGGGAAAGCGGTTGTGATATCGATGGTGAAATCGATAGTGATACCGGATGTGATATCGATTGTGAGATCGATTGTGAGATCGATTGTGG